TAAACAGACAAACAAAAGTTTCCTCTTCACAATATTACTACAGATATGAAGTCAATATATCGAATTGTAGCTTTATTAGAATTCTTTGAACATTTCTCAGTACTCGTGAGTCTATTCGCAACTGAAAAATTTCATATCAAGCACGTTGTAAATTGGCGTTCCGTAGTCAAGTGTAGGCTAAGGTGGAGGCACCATATTACAATTTCCGTGAAGAAGAAGGCGTCACCCATTCCGCACCGATTGGAGTTCTGCGGCTAGTATTCTTTTCTTTATTTTCAACTACGTCACTACGTCAACTCTGATATATGGGCTTCGACACAAATGGGCCGGCTCGACCGAAGTGATACCACGTCCTCAAACAAAACCTGCGTGAAGCAACCCTTAAGTGAGTAGTTGAGTTTCGCCGTGTGAATGAGGTTAACGGAGCCGGAGGCCCAATTCTTTTTCTGAGTTATATGTGCTCTCTATGATTATTATAGACCACTGACATACGGTGGATGAACACATCGAAAATCTTTTTTTTTTTTTTGTCAGGGGAAAATCATCCAATGACTTCTCCCGCCCAGGGTAAGGCGAGAGAGAGTGTCAGACTCTTACTGACTAAAAACCCCCCCGTTCCTTCTCCTGCTCTGGGCCGAGGTCGCGGTGCCTCATTGCGCTTACCCCGCAGCCCCGGCTAAACATCAGCCCTTTAGGGCCCCGACTGTGGTGGTCTATTGGCTCTTTGAGGCGCGCGCGGAACGCTACGCGCCGTACGCTCGGGTCCGGTTCTGGTCGGGCGGCGAGCTACCCTTACTCGCCGTCCGCAGACCCGCGCTTACGGTGGCCGGAGATCATCTCTCGATCCCCGACGTCCGGAATGTCGCCTTCTGCGGCGGCTGGGGCGCGAGGAGGATAGTTCCCTCACGCGCTCCGCCTCCTCCTTTGCGAGCATAACTGCTTCGCAGAAGGAGGAGATAGCTTCCCAGTTCCTCTCACGCTGCACCATGGCCTCGATTAAGGCCGGGCGCGAGAGGTCGCCGCCGCCGATCACTTCCCTGAGAACACGGCGGTGCTCAGCCCAAGCAGGGCACTCCGCCACCGTATACTCCACCGTGTCCTCCAGGTGATCCGCACCATGACGACACTCGGGCGTTTCCTCCCGCTGGATCCGAAACAGGAACCTACCAAAGCTGCCGTGCCCGGTAAGCACCTGCGTCAGGCGGAAGGTGAGGACGCCGTGGCGTCTCTCAAGCCACTCCTCAAAGAGGGGTCTTACCGCTGCTATAGTAGCGTGCCCGACACATCGAAAATCTGGATTTATAATTACTAATTATAAATTTGAAATTGCGAATCCGCCTTGAGTGTGGTGATTGAATGCTCAAACCTTTTCTGTGTGAGAAGAGGTTTTTCCTCAGCAGTTGGAAATTAGGCTGAATGGGAGAACAGCACCCCAGGATAAAAAGTAGCTTATCTATTATGTATTTTATTACAGATTATCAACGTTCAGTAGTTTTAACGTAACATAGTAACAATGCACACTTATCTTTCAAGTTTTTTGCATTATTTATGTGCTGTGTTTATGTTTCTTTTGTCGTTGGATTTGACCGTTATCTAAATATCGCTAAGTTGTACTGTACTTACGACTGTAAATGGTCATTTTAATATTATTTTTTTGCTCTTTATGTGGTATGATGATGTTACATATTATATCTAACAGGAACCATTATCATACCAACTTATAAATACATTTCATAAAAAGCAATTGAAATATATTTTATGAGTGAAGTGGTAAACAAAGAGACAGACAACCAGATGGTAGTCGATCAGCGCCGCCCAAGTTATTATACATTAGGTATGCGATTCCTAATGAATTTATTCAAGCATTATAAAAATATACAATTCAGTCGAGTTCGATTATCTTTGCTAACATATTCATGGTGCAATATAAATGTAAACGTGTTGACTCCATACCCATACAATCACACCATGCAAACGACGTATGGGGGTTGCGGGGAAATATCCCTTTATACGGTTTCATTAAAATCCTCTATGCTTTGGCAACGGTGCTCAAAGTTTTTATGCATATATTTTTCATCGTCACATCATGCCCGTTCCTTTTGCTTTACGTGAAAGTTGGCTAACAAAAATAGCAGTGGTATTAAGTCATGTAGTATTTACACATTGTTGCAAAAAAAATTAGTACTTAGTTTCTTGACTCTTGATTAGAACCTATTATAAAACTTCTCATCGCCGTGCGTTGGTCTGGTAGTAAACTATAATAAAAATAATAATTTCACCCGTGTCCCGGAAAGCAAGTCATTGGCTCAAGACGTGCCTGACCTCTCTCTGGTCTTATCAGTCTGCCGTCCTATGAGCTTCAGAGAGTGAGCAGCTCCAGTGTAGCAGGAAAGTCTAATTAGACAGGCTGACCACCGTGATTGAAGGCGATCCGGAGGCGTTATACATATAAATAATGCCAAATGCGTATTGTACGCTCACTTTTCATCAATTAACTTAAATCTGCAAATAATCGTTCAATATCTCGTTTTAATAATGTAAGTGTTTGTATAAAATGTAAATATTTTAATGTGAATATAAATAAGGAAAATTTCACCCAAATCAACCAATCACCCAACGGCAAATATGGCTGTCAACATTTTCCACAGGACCTACATAAGTGTGAAAACTTTGAGAAACTCTGTCCCTTATTAAGCAATGAATACATGAGCTGATTTATATTACAACCGACACAATACGATGTTTTGTGCCTTAGATGTACATACAGACAGACAAATTCTGTGCCCACATCGACGACGCGACGGACAATACGTAATTTGATGATATTAATAGTTTGGCTTTATAGATTCTATTCATTGAAAAAGAGCTATATTTTATATCGCGTGTCGAAAAAAACATAGTATATGAAAACTTTAGTATAACTTAGGAAGGTTGGCAGATGGACTGCTGTGGCTGGACCACCGGCTGCCAAACAACGTGTCGCGAGTTCGATTTCCACAAGAAATTACGATTTGCGTGATCTTCAAATTATTGTTCCAGATCTAGTCTGATGTCTGAGGTTGTGGGTTAAGCGCAAAGAGGGCCTCGGCCCAGAGCAAGAGAAGGAACGGGGGGTTTTTACCTAGTCAGTTCCTAATAGTCTGACACTCTCACTCGCCTTAGCCTGGGCGGGAGAAGTCATTTGATGATTTTCCCCAGACAAACAAAAAAAGATCGTGTCTTGCAGTCAGCAGAGCCTGTTCTTGAGTTAAAACATTACAACGAAATATCGCATGATTATTATACGTATTTGTAGATTCATTTTTCATTATCCACATTCTACCTACTTAAATTGCGGCCTATAAACTTAATCAATAAATTTTGAAAATGTATTTTTTAAAAGACCAGTCGGTTTTAATATCACTTATGAATTACCGTAAATAATGTTTAGGTATATCTAAAGTTTATAAATAGCGAGCCGCCCAGTTTTCGCAACGATCCAATGTTAATACTAAAGTTCTTTTCTATTTGATGAATTGTGTTATACATATAAAACGTCAACTTCAATTATTCTATTCTTATTGTAGTTTTACAGATTTAAGCATACAGTTATATAGGGACAGAGAAAGCGACTTTGCTTTCTACTTCCTCTGACCCTCTGACCCTCTATCAACAACACTGCACTCCCCGAAACCAAGATTTCCTTAAAACGAATCACAAACTGTTTTCTTTTAATTCAGAATTCCGCAAACTAATTAAAAGTACCATTCTACAATATTTTTTTAAGCTGACGACACTTCACAATGAAAAATTACTTGATCAAGTTTAATACGGAACCATCAGTTTTACATAGAATAACAGCCCGCTCTCATTTTTATGCTAATCTTAGCTATTAATTTTTTATACGTTATCAACTTTATAAAAACTAGCTTTATCAGAGACTTGATACCCTAATCTAATAGCTAGGCAAATTAAATAAGATTAACTTAGATATTATTTAGGAAATAATGCATTTTGTCATGCGAGGAGAGTGATACCACGGCCTCACAGAAAACCAGCACGAACCAACGCTTGCGATGTGTTTCGTCGTGTGACTGAGGATAATGGGGGTCCAATCCTTTCATTCCATCCTTATTTGTCTATTCCTTATTCCAAAACCCTAACGACCTACAACAGGTTGGCAATGCACTTTGTTTTGGGGCGGTGGCTTACCATCAGGATATCCTTAAGTCTTGGAATATCCAGTAGCAGTGATTGCTTACCATCAGAATATTTAAGGACCTTTGACAGTAGATTAATAGCCTTATTCTGTGTTTGCTGCTTATTTCAATAAAAAAAATTGATTCTTAGTTTTTAATACTTACATAGTTTAAAACGTGTCGACCTAAAGCATGTATTAATATACTTTTATTGGCTTTTCGCTTCCAAGATTATTGTAAGTTGGCCTTCTACTAAACTCATCCTGAATCATTATTACGTATTTGCCATTCATGCCTCAACACGTTGTGTTTTACGACCAATCAAAAATCGTTTGCTGGGTGCTTCAGTGTTCGATATTTTACAAAAGCCCATTCCAGGCCAAAGTCACTACGACCCTATCCTAATCTAATCTATATAAAACAGAAAAACATAGTTGACTATATCAACTATGTTTTTCTGTTTTATATAGATTACGAAGATTTCATTGTTTTCAACGATATTGATATTAAATTTGTACATTACAAGCAAAAATAATTAGCATTGAAGTTTGAAAACATATTAGGTGTATGTTGATTTACATTACATCTATACTTAATATTATAAAGAGGTAAAATTTGTAAGTTTGTAAGTATGTATGTAGGGGGTAATCTTTGGAACCGCTGCTCAGATTCGCGCGGTTTCACTTGCTGCTCAGCTCCTACAGATCGTAGCGTGATGTTTTATAGCCAATAGCAATCAGAAACATTGTGAAAGAAGTTTAGGAATCCGACCATCAGCCCTGTAGGGTTCCGTCTGAGGTGGTCGATACGACCTTTAAACCTTCAAGAAGCGAGTGTACTCATTCTTAAAAGGCCGGCAACGCGACGGTGACTCCTTTGGTGCTGCAGGTCTGTAGGCGGCGCCAATCGCTTGCCAGGTGATCTGTCAGCTCGTTTGTTTTCTATTCCATAAAAAAAATATAATCTATGCTACAAATATAGCCAAATCTAGAGAATATTAATAAATGCTTGCAAAAATTGGGATAGCCGAGTAATCTTTTTGAGGCCGACATTGGCAAGATTTTAACGTAATTCAAAATATACTCACAAATAAGACCTCACTCGATGTGAACGAGGATCGTGTTAATTAGTACCTCCTGACCTAATCCCAATCCTAAAATTATCCAGTCTAATTCTACCCAACCTTTAAAGTCTGGATTACAGATGCAGGGAGGATGGAAGCAAAAAGTATTTCGTGTACAAGTCACTTGTTATTTTGATTTTTTCATGTGATAATACTCTTTGAATTGACAGATTCTACTTGATATAGTCCAGGATCACCATCTAGGAAATGTATGTGGAAGCCTCAATGGCAACACAGAGGCCAAGAAGCATATATTCAGTTGTCTCTGTATTAAGGTATGTAAGGTAAAAACTGGTAGCGATCACCGTAATGCCACTGAATATCAATGGCAAGCTGGAGAGGCCTCGTCTGGTAAAGTCCACACTCTGTCTTTACCGTGCCCAGTCACTATTGGTTTATTTGTCACAGTCCGGAGTCATGTCAAGTAAATGAGCGAGGTGTTCAAAGCGGTTCAAGGTTATAGTACAATAAAACAAAAGATATATTAAAAGGACAGGTATAATAGGCAAATATATTGTCAAAAACACAGGCAGCATACCATCAGCGCCAGAAGGACCGTTATTTATCCACGAGGTGTACGCAGACACTCGCGTGTACAACGTCGTCTTATCAAAGTTCTTCCCGCTTACCACACCGGCCAACACTCCCTCATCGTTCACCTCGTTAGGGTCACCGGTATGGTAACATAACAAAGGACCCCCAGAATCACCTCTAGCCACGTCCGCTATTGTTGAGTCCGTACAAATAAAAGAATTCATATTCATTTCCCAAACTAAGGAGCATCGCCATCTGGGCATTGTGCTTAATTTCGCAGACAACAAAATTGGGGAGACACTGTCCTTCGAGCGATGACCGATTCTTCCGTACCCAGCAGACACGCATTGCTCTGCGTAATCCGTCACTACTGTTGCCACTTTTATGAAGTTGACGTTTTCATTAAAGACCCACGGCTCGTTGACAAGGACAACTGCGATGTCATTAGCAGGGAAGTTGAAATGTTCGTGTATCAGAACTTTCTGTAAGCTTCTCCATTGAGTGTCTTTTGTAGTTTCTGTCTTCCCGCAGTGTATTAGGTCTGTAGTCATGGCACCGGCCACCAGGCGGAGCGTTTCGGGATGTCTTGCGTAGTAGAACTCGTTATTTTCAAAACAATGGGCCGCTGTCAGCACTCTTTTGGTGTCAATTATGCTCCCGCCACAAAGGTTCTTCCACACAAATTTATCCGGCTCCATTTTCGCCACTGGTTCTTTTAAAGACACCAGGAAAGGAAACTGACCTTCCACAGCAGGTTTCCCATTGACTACAGATGGTGATGTGCTGTATTTCGAGTACTTTAGAGTCGTTATAACTCGGTTGTCATATTCGCAAACAACAATTTGGGTGAGAAACACGAATGCTACGAGGATACGCATTAGTAATTTTGTTCATTTCAAAAATATTGATCAATAAATTTGTAGTTGTGGAAACCTGCTAACTTCGGACATTTTCAATGTCTTCTGTCATTGTACTTGTCTTCCGTCAAAAATTGATGTTATATTTTTTTTAGATTACCGCGGAGGTAATTTTAGAATTCAACGCCATAGAAAATCGTTTTAGTAAAATAATAGAAATAACACTACAGGTTTTTCAAGTAATTATTAGATTTTTTAAGGCTTTTGTAACATTTTGAGCTTCTTGCCTGATCTTTGCAGCATGTACTTACATGGAAAGCATTTCAAAGCACATTTTCATAACAAAGAGGTCTCACATAAGCGTGCGCTTCTGTTCAAGGAAAAAACGTTAAAACATTGCCTACCTAGTAGCCGACCACGCAAACTGTGGCGCCAACCAATTAATTAATTTAGGTCATTTTCTAATAATTACCAAGACCAAGCATCCTAACTTAGGTGATTGGGTAACCTCACATTTTTAATGACGCCTCAATGAAAGGGTGCCATAATTACAGGACAAAAACCATGGCCACTCAATTTGGGGCGGCATCACAATATGGTACAACTTGATAATACAAACAAATGACTGTTGAAGATCGTTCCTTATCAAAGGCCGACTCGCCACTCCGTTATTATGAAGACAGACAAATTAATGTCTTAATTTATAGGTAGGATTAGTTTTTGTAATCACAAAACCACCAATTATGAGAATTCCTTTATTACAGATAATATAATTGGTTGATTTTTTCAAGACTGTTTATTGAGGTTTCTTTCTTTTCGATTCTGGAAAAGTCTCGTGTAGTTTCACGCGGTCAACGGCTTTTAATGCTTGACGCATGATGTCTTATAATCTGTATAACCCTCTTGAAGAAATGGGTAGCACTGTTTTTTTCAACTCGTATTAGGTCGATCTCGTAGTCTATGAGATATCAAATCAAATCAAAATCAAAATCATTTATTCCAACTAAACCATAATTATGTACTTTTCAAACGTCAAAATAGAATAGTAGTCTGTCAGTCTGTTCGTCAGTGAAGCTAGGGGCTCGTTCCAAATTGTAGTTTCGAATGGAGAAGATCGAGCAAGAAACTCCATAGAAACGGGCGACGCCCCGTGCAAGAATAGCTAGTAATAAATATTTATACATACATACATACAATATGTATTATGGGCTTGTACAAATATAAAAATTGGACCTCCAGAATACAATACATCGCGTTCAACCTTTTGCTAGAGGTCAATACATCGATACAAACATATACATTTATTTTGTGCTTCAGATTTATTTATACCCACTATAAATTGACCTCACCAAAATAATTAACTCGAAGATTTGTTTTAGTTCAATCCAAACTAATATCATAAATGCGAAATTAACTCAGTCTGTCTGTCTTTTCTTCACGCCTAAACTACTAAACCAATTTCTGAGATATTTGCTACAGACATAGTTTGGAAGTCCGGAAAGGATAGGATAGTTTTTGTACCAAAAATCTACAGAATCTCACTATTCTACGAAGTCGCGGGCTAAAGCTAGTTAGAAATAAATGTATATCTAGGTATCTCTTATAACTCTCTCTGTCTCTGTCCCTTCTCTTTTTCAATTTAATTGAATCTTCTTTTTATAGTAAGACAAAAGTATTTAACAACCTTGTGTTTACTGTTTTATGTTATATGTTGGCAAACGAGCAGACGGATTACCTGATGGTAAGCAATCGTCGCCGCCCATGGACAGCACCAGAGGAGTTACATGTGCTGTGCTTGCCTTTTGGAGATTAGGGTTTCGGAGATTTTAGAATTGGAGGAGGGGAAGAAAGATTGGCCCTCTGGTCACCTCACTTACACGGTGAAACACAACGCTGTAGTTGTTTTGTGTCGGTATTCTGTGAGGCCGCATATCACTCCGATCGAGCTAACCCATACATGCCGAAAGCATCGCTCTGCCACACTTATTTGTACCTATTTTATCGATGATTCATTTTGTAGAATAAATCTTATTTGGTATTTGAAAAAAACTCTAAAATAATTTTAGGAGCATTATCCAGAGCAGAAGGAACGGGATGGTTTTTAGTCCGTAAGAGTATGATACTTACTTACTCCCTGTCGCTGAACTTAGGGTGGTAGAAGTTATTATGATGAGTTTTCTTACCCAAAAAACACAATAAAGTTGGTGCAGTAATATCCAGCCTCACCCAAAAGGCCAGGAACATACTTGCAACTCTATGGGCGGCGCCGATTACTTACCATCAATCCGTCAGCTCGTTTGAAAGAAACCTACAACCCATTTAAAACTCCGTGCATAAATCTTTTTCCAACCTAAAAACTAAAACACTGACACCAGTCAATCATGTATCTACACATTTAGTATGTCTTTTAATTAGCATAAACATGATTTTCTAGAGAATATGTAGAATATTATAAGAAAAATTAATGTCACCTCAAATATTTCTGTTTTTGTTGACAATAGCCACGTACACCGACCAGGCCCGCATCATAACTACGCTAAAATATTCCACATTTCGCGTGTCCCCTAAAATAGTTCACGGGAGCCCCGTCTCTAAGGGCCAAGTGCCATATCTAGTGTCCATAAAGGAGCCTTCAGTCAACGTCAGCCAGGCGAAGAAATTGTGGACAAATCTGTGTGGTGGAAGTATCATCACGCCATCTAAAGTATTGACAGCAGCGCACTGCTTTGAAGCTAATCAGTTCTTCTACGCCACAAACTTTAGTTTGTTGAGAGTCGTAGCTGGGAACTTGCACAATCATTTGATTGATTCAGGTGAGCGATATTCTAAAAGGTTACAAGGTCAATCTCTCAACCACCCACATCATATTCATAAAATCAAAAAAAAAAGAAAAAAACGCACAACTCCTCGAATCAGTGCTTACCACTAGACGAGCTGTTCATCCCACTACCACACTTTTAATCGATTCGTTTAATCACCACAACCGTCAAGAAATGGAATTCTTTGCCGGAGTCTTTAGTCCCCAGAACTTCAAAGCCTGCATGAATAGGTTGCTTATGGGTGGGCGTGCTCCATCGTAGGTCGCACTATCGCTTACTACCAAGCAAGACCCATTACAATTCAAAAACCATGTGAAATATTTTATGATCAATAATTGCTTCAGGACATGATTAATTATTTGTATTATTCCCAGGTCGCACGTCAACATCAGATAAATCTCAATGGCGGATAATGAGTAAAGTAGTGCTACATCAAAACTTCAATTTTCCCCTCAACGACATTGCACTCGTGTTCGTCGACACACCATTTGTGTTCTCAGAAACAGTCAACTACGTAATACCCGCGAGGGCAATAACGGATTACCCCAAAACTTGTATCGCGGCTGGGTTCGGCGAGACACAGCATGGATCTAATACGTCACGTAAATTATTATGGACAGACATCTCTGTACTATCGAGAGCCCAGTGCGACTTTTGGTGGGAGATGGAAATGAATGATTTCATCTGCACTAACTCCCAAGCTTCCGACGTAGGAGCTGGAGACTCGGGAGGACCTTTAGCCTGCTACGGGACTACCGACCCTACGGAACAGAAGGGCAAAGACCTCCTTGTGGGCATTGTCAGCGGTAAAAACTTTGATAAAACTACATTGTTCACCAGAGTGGCTGCCTTCGACACATGGTTGCAAAATGAAGGGCAGACGAGTATCGCCTGTATTTGTAAACCTTCAAAAATTGTTTTGAGTTTTGCTATTATACTGTCTTATATACGTTTATTGATTCTATTTATTTTTTGGAGTTAAGTTTACCAAATACATGTAGGTACCTATAGTCACTATTTAGAAATGAAGAAAATTTTAATATTCAAACATTTCCAATCAAACATCCTTAGTACCATCAAACGAATTTAATTAATGGGTTTAGTTGTAAGATATCACCCAACCCAATGTTAAAGCTGTATGAATAAATTAAAAAAAAATAGTTAATACAATTTATAGGATTAGGCTCAATGGGTACTCGTAGTGACATCTACAATAGTCTTTTGTCAACTAAACTTCTGAATAGCGCCATCTATAATCTGTATGCAGAAAATTAAGCACAGATTTGTTCAGTTGACAGCTTACTGATCGGCGGCGGCGACCTCTCGCGCCCGGCCTTAGTCGAGGCCATGGTTCGAAGCGAGAGGAACTGGGAAGCCGTCTCCTCGTTCTGCGAAGCATTGATGCTCGCAAAGTAGGGAGCGGAGCGCATGAGGAACTATCCTTCTCATGGCCCAGCCGCCGCCGTAGGCGACATGCCGGGCGTCAGGGATCAAGAGACGATCTCCGGCCACCGTAAGCGCGGGTCTGCGGACGGCAAGTAAGGGTTGCTCGCCGCCCGACCAGATCCAGGCCCGACTACCACAGACGGGGCCCTATAGGGCTGATGTTCAGCCGAAGTTGCGGATAAGTCACCGCGGCCTCGGCCCCGAACAGGAGAAAGAACGGGGGGTTTTTAGTTAGTAAGAGTCTGACACTCTCTCGTCTTACCCTGTGCGGGAGAGGTCCTTTGATGGTTTTCCCCTGACAAAAAAATAAAAAAAAGCTTACAAATACGAATACTTGGAAGATTGAAATTGAAAACAATATGGAAAACGAGGTGCGAGAAACAAGGAAGTATGTAATTAATAATCCAAAGTTTAAATAGTCACGGTAGCTCAAGAAGTACATATATCTGTAACATTAGAGATACCAAAGGTGCGTTGCTTATAATTCAGAAAACTTTAATGAAAGAGGTCGGCAAACGAGCATGGTTATTACCTGATGGTAAGCAATCAACACCGCCCATGGACACTTGCACCAATGGAAGAGTTAAAAGTGCGATGTCGATCTTAGGGATTTGGGGATTTATGTCCAATCTAGTGTAGGATTGGACACTCAAGCGGCGAATTACAACGCTGTGGTTTTTCAAGTCAGTTTTCTATGAAGCCGTGATATCACTCTGGTCGACCAATTCGTGCAAAGCATGGCTCTTCCTCACTTAAAATAACCGTTGAAAACCCGGTTAAAAGTTAAGTTTTTAGTAAACACACGGGGGTACTTTTGTAAATAAAACATCAGAAAATAGCTATAAAATATTGATTTATTCATTTTTAAACAATAAATCGTTTTATATAAAACATAGTTCGGCATTAGATACCTATCCATGCTACTTAATGCTAGATTAACTTCACTTGTCACAAATATTAAGAACAAAGACAGACAATTTTACAATTGAAAAAATAATATTTACTGGACACGGCTACCAACAAGCTACACACCCAGTTTATCGCGGCCTCGCTTAGCATGATCTTTCCACAAATTCAACGGTCAGTTTATAGTGGTTTTTCATCACTTACACTCGGGTTCTGAAAGGCTTGTCAACGCTAAAATTAACTAATCTCCTGTTAAATCTCTGCTCCAGTCATCAGATTGATTGTTGATAATTCAGTCAACCAATCAGATGACTTGACAAGAGATTCAATTGATTTTAACATTGATCGGCCTTTCGGAACCCGGGGGTAAGACTAGCCGTATGCACGCATATTTATATTACAGACATATTTCAACTAAATTTACAATATATAAAAGAAATGGTCAGTATTATTAGATTTTTTCATGAATACAACATGGAAATAGAATGCGCATTTGGCATAGCTTGCTTATTTTATAATTCATACATGCGATGTATGTCTGTGATTCTTTTTTCACTCAAAAACAGCTGGACCGATTTAGTTGAAATTTGTTATGTATAGGCTGGATGTTTTCTATCAACATACCACCCGAGAGGAACCGCGGACGTAAGCAAGTATTAAATTAAAAAAAGACATTTTCTTATACATTTGTGACAATGTCAAGTCATATTCATACTGTCAACATTTGTAAAACACATTCACAAACAACTCGGTTGGTGTAATATTCCTATAAATACAAATTAATTACTAAAAATAGCATTTTTATAATAAGAAACAATTTTAAAACATGACCTTTTTTCGAAGCGCGATTACAAATAAAATCTAACGAATTACAGTCCAAATTAAATGCATAGAAATGAAATTATAATTATATGTATATGTATGTATAATTTTGGGACTAATTCTATATGACTATCTCATAAAACTAGACATTATAATAGGATATGAATTATAATTACGTCAAAACTAAACGAGGGTAGTGTTATACTACTAACTTGACATTACAAGGTGCGAAAATAAATAAATTTTATGATAAAAATAATGTTTTAAATCATTTAGAAATATGTGTTACTAATTATTAGAAATATAAATGCCAGATTGTATTTATGTACAACTATTTTTGGAAATCTTACAATAGTATGCTATTATACGTCGCGTGCGTAGTTAATTAATAAGGGCTCCGTTCAATGTCAAAATAAGTCGGGTCACCCTCGTTTTCTGCGAATTTCAGGCCTTCATACGAAGAAAGACTTCTTACAAATAGTTTTAAATTACCTGGCATTCATGAATCATATTTATTAATTATACTTAATTTTTTTAATGTTGTAACAATACTTGTATGTCAAATATGAACCTTACTGCTCACGTACTACATAACGTACGTTAGTAGTGCTGTAAGAATGTCAATAAAGTGCAAAATGCAATGCATTCCAAATTAAAAATCGATGCGTAGAGGTAGGTTATGGAAGACGATACATAATATTATCTTATTCTATTGAGAAAAGAAAGTTAAATACTCGTATTTAGCAAAATAAGCTAAAACGCCTTTTACATAAAGTCGAATATAGCTTGTACACTTCGTAAATTACGTTTCAAATTCACGCTAATGTAGACTTTAAAGCGTCGTCATAAGTCATAAGATAGGTTACTCTACCTCTTTTACCTGTTTAGGCGTTCGCTAACGAATAATCCAAATTCACCTTATGTCGAATTAGTGAGGTTTCTCGCGTTATCTCATTTCATAAGTACGTCGTAAAGTTTTTTTTTACTTATTTTCTATAGGGTAAGCACAAATGTGAGATATTACAAGTACTTGATATCTGTACTCATAAGAGGAAAAATTGGTTTGTTTGTATTGTATAAGCTCCGAAACTACTTGACCTATTCAAAATATTCCATCACTATTTGGAAGCTACGTTATCATCGGTGAAGATATATAGGCTATATATCTACTACACGGGTAAAACCGCGAGGCACAGCTAATAGTTTTATAAAGACCCCATTGCTCATTGAAGGATTAAATGCATATTTTAAGAAGAAGTCAAATACATTGTGTTATGTAACCTCTTTTTTAAGTTAATTAATTTGATCTATTCGCTATACAAGCATTTCTTACTTTCACTGATCTATGCTTATTTTAATAAGTTCAATCTACATAGCCTCGGTTCTACAAAAGTTTGCCATTTTCATATTTTTCAAAGTCCGGTTTGCGTGAAATATTTCACAAATGCGCTCACCCTGTTTCTAATTCTAAAGTGCATTAAAAATCTTGTCCATTACTTGCTACAAGCACTTAAAGTTAACAGCATCGTTGCGCAAACCATTGTCTAATTTTGCGCATAATGCGCAAAAATTGTAACGCACAAGATTTTTTTGCGCAAATACTGGTAATATTTATGTATATTTTTAACAACTTGTTGATATGGAGAACATGATTGGTTTCTTGCAAATTAAATATAAACATAAGATATTTATCCCAAATTACTTTTTCATTGTTTTTATTAACATGACAACATATCATTACGAGATGGCATTTCTTTGGCAAATCATTGAAAACTACATATTTTTCTTTAGGTAAATATTACCAGTCAATATATAATAATTAATCATAGTCAATCAATGTTAGTCGTATATCAAAATTAAAGTCTTTTATAACAGTAATATTTATAATCTAATTTACATAATTATATATTTTTATTTAAATACATTAGTTTTCAACTAGCGATAACTCAGGACACTGATAGAGAAATGCCTAGGTTTCATACTTCTAAAGAGCTGTAAGTAAAAAACATTTTCTAGCGGATAATCGCTTTTAGTTTACCTAAACTTAGGTTCGATTTTAGCAAAGCGTTGATTTTCGAGCATAATTGTTTTAAGTTAAAGTTCAAAATAGACTCTTGTTATTAAATTAATGTTATAAATATAGTTTTTTGTGAATTTCAAAGCACAACCTATAATGGAAATTTTCTTTGAGACCTGGCTTGAGCTAGTTTTTTATTGAAACTGTTATTTAAATAATATAGGTACTTGCACAAATTCTGAATTTCAACAGCATATCTTTTAAATCAATACTCATAACACATTTACCAATGTCCATATAATTTTATACAATCGTAAAAATGACGAATTTCTCGTGTAGTCTATAGATTCCATCGATATTTTATAATAACAATAATAAATTCAGAACCAAAATTCACATGACCGTTTACAGATGGAATTAAGGGTTGATTTTTCAATGGTTAGACAAAAGTTACCTGGAGAATAATTATGCTATAAATATTATGATGCTGTCGCGTCAGAATGTTTGTATAAGACAGTGACAGCAACAATACGGTAGTTTCCAACTAGTCAAATTCAATACTTTTATCCAAATGAAATTTGAATGAAATACTGGGTTATGACGTCATAGAATTTTTGCGTCAAATAGTTTACTTATTTCTTTAAAATTAGTTAAAATATACCTAAAAGTTTGTGTATCGATCAATCGATGAATAAAAGTACAGTTATTTTTCAATTTTTTACTGTATTAAAATGTCAAATTATTTTATTTTTGACGTAGCTAAACTAAAGTAACCAGTTTTAATTCTCAGATAACAATTATCTGGCTATTGGAAAATCTGCCCTTAATATTATAAATTGTTTATGAACAACGGATAGTTAGTCTATTATACTGATTCTAATGTAAAGCGGGAATGTCTCACTTGTCTTGTAGCTGTACGTAGTTCGCTGGGAACAGGCCGTACGCACCCTTGCAAAGTCCTTGCCACCAGCCTTCGTCAATCTGAGAAAAGGTATAAAAAAAACATTAAAGTATAAAAATCTTCATTTACGTGGTACAAATCAAATCAGATTTGAAAGTCTAGACGATGAATACGACAGAACCACCACATTCAGCATTATAAGTATGCGATAAACTTTTTTTTAATGTGATCGATTGGTAAACGAGCAGACAGATTATCTGATGGTAAGCAATCGGCGCCGCCCATGAACACCCGCAGCACCAAAGGAGTTACGAGTGCGTTGCCGGGCTTTTAAGAATAGGGGTTGCGGATATAAGGATTGGGAAGGGATAGGGGAAGGGGTGGGATTGGGCCTCCGGTAACCTTACTCACACGGCGAAACACAACGCTGTGGTTGTTTCACGTCGGTATTCTGTGAGGCCGTGATATAACTCCGGTCGAGCCGACCCATTCGTGCCGAAGCTTGGCTCTCCCACACTTAAAATACTACTTTGTCGGCACACTTACGCCCTTTACCTGTGACGTATTTTATGGATGACCCCTAAACCTCTGGGCCATCACGACACAAATACAGGGTGTAAGGGACAGCCCTCCACAAATTAACAGGGTGCATTCAGCTCCTTATTCTGAATCATATTCCAGTGAAAATTCTTTCAGGAAAATTTTCAATTTTTTTTTCGTTTTTTCAGTTCCTACACCTCTATTTCAATGTATAATTACATTCTATGTATGAAGAATAACATTAATGTAAATAACACAGCTAAAACAAAAAAATACGCAATGGTTGTGTGAATTCTCTAAAGAACTACGCATGAAATCAGCTGTTCAATTTCTACCTAGCGCGAGTCGTTTGAACTCACCGCACCGCGGTCACGGCGCAGTGGCTCGGCGCCCCACCGCGCCGATCGCCGCGCCGCGCGCCGTAGGTATAATACCTACGATCCCGTCCAACGTACAGAATAGCTGCGTCCCTTTCTATCGCCCCGCCTCCGCGTCTCCCCGTCTCCCCGATTCTTTGCACAATGTTTGCCCGATTGAACCAGTGTTGCCAATTTTTAACTTTTGTTACCTCAGGTAGTAAACGAAAATGTTAGAACTAGCGAAATTTATCTAAAACTTGAGAACTCCTCTGCATTCATAATTACGTTGATGAGATTTTCATTAATCAATTAATGAAAATCTTGGCGCGCACACAAATTGAATAAGAAATAAATAAAGATTAGTCTAGTTTTAATTTTAAAGCATTTACAAATACTACCTAATTTATTAATTGATTGTTCTTTTTAAGCGATTACTGGCTAGTTTTTAAACTACTTACAGATTTTTACATGGCTTCACAATAGCCATGAATTGATAGTCGAGCCAGAAATTAAACACAATCTCCCTGGAATGGAAGCACAGCTTATCACACTGCACTTTTATTATTCTAAATTAACTAAACAATGAAATTAGAATTAAATTGATTTAATCAATTCATTTCTCTACAAAAAATAACAGAATGATAAATTACGACCATGCATAATTTTTTATTTTTTACCCCGAAATTTTGTAATTTTCGTGTAATTGGCAACAACAGATTTATGTTTGTGTGTGTCTCATCACATGCAGTCGCCATTGTGCCTTGCTGCGATGTTATTGTTTGTGTACCGCGAGCGTGTGTCGGCACGGATCGCTCGCGCATTCGGCTTAAAAGTTTTGTTATAAGTAGTGTTGTTAAGTTTTATTAGTTATGTAGTGTGTGAAGTGTAGTGAAGTTTTGTTGTAGAAATTGTGCGAAATTACTACCTAGGTACGTTTAGCGCGCGTGATTATGGGGAGATGATAATGTGTTGTAGTAGTGTAGGTATCTTGACCGTCGCCATCCATCAGACTCCAGGATAATTACTGGTGACTATCAACGCTTGCTAGAAAACCAGCCCATTGTTCCCAGACAAAAAGGCGCCGGTAGACCAATACCTACGTGGATTTTGGAATTGGTTCGCTAACGTAAGGAGACGCTACCACTTACCAGTGCTTTCCTATTTAAACGTAGTTTAGGTAGGTTTGGACCGCAACCGTGGCCAGCACGATCCCCAGACCTAACCCATTTGGACCCCTTTTTGTGGGGTTACGTAAAAGAAAAAGTGTTTGTGAGTGCGTGTGCAAGTGAGTACGAAATGCGAGACCGCATCACAAATGCTTTCCAGAGCCGGAAACCGGAGCGATTCTAAGGTACCTACGCATTTTTCTTTTTTTATCATTTATCAGTTACCATGTTATGATTGTTAGATTTTTTTTTGTAAGTAATGCAGCTATCTTTTAAATAATAATTTATTGTTATTAAAACGTGGCGCAAGCGCGATTATTACATTGTCTTTTGTAAGTAATGCGGCTATCTTTTAAATAATAATTTATTGTTATTAAAACGTGGCGCGAGCGCGACCGTTTGTCTGACGTAAGGTCGCGGCGCTGCCCATAGTGTAAAGTAATAATACTAAAAGCGCTGCCGTTCGCTGCGTGCGTTTGCGGTGGTAGCGATACATTGCGTGTAAGGTAATGAAACAAATCGGTTTAATTGGATTCCCATAACGTTCCTGAAATAATTTCATGTACCGGTCAACTTAAGACGATATACTGAATCCACCCTATCAGTTTGCGGAAGGCTGTCCCTTACACCCTGTATAATACTCACCATAACAATATTGGTAATAATATCATCAGGGTCGAAGGAGATCTCGTCGGGCGCGGCGGCCTGGTAGTCATACAGAGCTCGCGCCGTGTACCCGTCCTCATCCTCAGCCTCCAGCTCTCCCTCTCCCGCCATCTCACTCTCCCACCCTACTGGCGACACCACTATTGTTGGCTGACGACTTATCTGTAGGGAGAAAACATTATAAGTAAGTATAGTTTTACTGTATAGTAAAAAACATGGTTTATTTTTTTGTATTTAGTACAAAAATACATTATTTATTGAATACTAGCTTTTGCCTGCGACTTTGCTTTCGTGAAATAGTGACTTCGTGAATATTGTTGTTTTAAAAACTATCCTATGTCCTTTCTCGGGTTCCAAACTATGTCTGTACCAAATTTCACACAAATAGGTTCAGTTTGTTTAGGCGTGAAGAAAAGACAGACAAACAGAGTTACTTTCGCATTTATAATATAAGTTTGGATGAAATCGCGGCGAAGTCGCGCAGCCAACGCAACGCTCCGGCGCGCTGAGTAAGAGTCCCGCTGTGACTTGAAACTAGTAGAGCGTTTCAGTTATTTTTATCACGTGATTAAGTCGTTATATTCAATAAATTTAGCATGTTAAACAATAGTTTCTATTCAAAAATATATTATTAAAATTTTGTAATTATTTATTTATTTTATTCGAACAATTAATTAAAACAGCATTAAACTCTCGTCAAAATAACCAAAACAAACCACACTTACAAACCACATAATAAAACAAACCACATAATTCGATGATCGAAACATTTATTTCACAAATTTTATTAAAATTCAATCATATTGAGTGATCTTTATAACATAACCAATAAGGACCATATTTAAATTAAAAAAATATTCCTAAAATAACTTATCTCATACTAAACAACTTACCTCTTCCTTATCCTCTTTAGCTTCACCTACAAGCGTCACATCCGGCAAGTTTGGTTGGTTGTCTGTAGGTGACGTCACTTCCGCCGACGTAGGCGCAGCTACACTAGCTGGGGCCTCGGGCATTGCCTGGAAAAGGTTTATTGGTTACAATAATACGGAAAATATTTTAAGTAATGTATAATTTATAACGAATAAGAAAATTAATCCACTTATAACTAAAGAACGGCTGGACCGATTTAGCTGAAAAATGACAGGGAGGTAGTTTAGAGCCTAAAGAGGATAGGATAGAGTAGGTAGTTTAGGTTAGGTTAGGTTAGGTAGAGTAGGGTAGGTAGAGGAGGTAGAGTAGCCAGGGTAGGTAGGGTGGATAGAGTAGAGTAGGTAGTCAAATGACGGGAGCGACGCCGCGGGTAAGAGCTAGTACATATATAAAAAAAGACAGGAAGGAGTGGGCAGGCCAAGTAACCTCACTACGGCGAAACACAATGCTATGTTTTCTGTCGCTGCTCACGCCGGTTTTCTGTGAGACCTTGGTATCACTCCGGTCGAGTTGACCCATTCGTGCAGCATGACGCTACCATATTTGTTTGCACCAACTTACCCGTGCGAAGCAAGGAGGGGTTCAGGTTTTCATTAAACTAATACCTGCACTGTCTGCATCATGATTTTTTTAATATTTTACCTTCTGCACAGTGGGTGAGGCGGGTGAGACAGGCTCGGCCGCGGCTGTAGGTAGTACAGGTTGTCTGTTGGCCAGCTTGCCGGGTACCTTGGCGGGGGGCGCGGGTTCTGTGTCCGGCTCGGGTTCATCTGCCTTCTCTTTGTCTACACGAACTTTTTCCTGTAGCAAAATTATAATTAAAATTGCAGAGAAGTCAATCTTATTAATGAGTCTGGATTAGTTACCGATTTATAACTTATTTCTATGGAGTTGGTTAGTAAGTTGAGTAAAGGTGACAGTTTCCTAGATATTTTTTTCATTTATTTTATTACTCCCGGTACGAGCTCCGCTACGTATAGTGCATAGTAATAAAAAAAAATGATTTTACACATTTTCATGATTTTCTTTTTAATTTCTCTAAGTACCTACCTACATAATATAAGACCTAAATTAGCTAAATCGGTAAAGGCATTGTTGAGTTATAACATTAGAATGAAAAGAGACATTGATTTTATATGTAGGTATAGATTAAGGAACAAAGTTCAATAAAGTTTAATCTGGTTTTATTTGTACTTATAAGGTCAGCAATGCGCCTGTTAGTCTTCTGGCATTTCAGGTGTCCATGGGCGGCGCTGACCACTTAGCATAAGGTGATCCGTCAGTTTATTTACCTCCTATTTGATAGAAAAAACTAGAAACCTACCTTTTGTGATAAGTCTTTATCCATGGCCTCTCTTTGCTGTCTTATCCGCTGCACAGACTGTAGAGCTTCCTGAAACAAAATAAAAAATTATAATTATTTAAAAACTTTAATTTTTCACGGCTATGATTTTGAAATAAAATACGGTGCCTATGTATTGTAAGACACAACAACCAGATAACAAAAATAAAAAAAAGGATTTTTCTAAAGTAACACCTGATTTATTTTTGGGATAGATCGGCCAACTAATGGTGAGCATTCGGCGCTTCCCATGGCCACCCGCAACACCAGAGGAATTAGAAGTATGTTACCGGCCTTTTAAAGATTAGCGTGTTAGAGATTAGAGATTAGGGTAGGAGAAGCATTGAGGCTCCGGTAACCTCACTCACACGGTGAAACACAAACAACGCCGGTTTCCTTAAAGCCGTAGATTCGTGCGAAATACAGACGACTCAACCTAAAGACCACTTGTACAATATGAGTACAGAGTGCCTTGAAGCCAGGGGATCCCCGAATGAAATATGTACTTCAGAGCAAAACAATTTTATTCTTGTCAAGTTTTCTATATACCTACCATTTGCCGTGTAACGAAACCATATCGCCATTTAACTCGATCCTAACGCCATCTATCGAGCTATTCGGTACTACATTTTTATAAATAATTAATTTCGGTTCGAGTATCGAGTACACCCGTTTTATTATTATTTCTACATTTAACACCACTCGCAAACAAACTAACATACAGTATGAAAACAAAATGGCTAAAAGGTGGCGGGTTGCGGGGAGAGGTAGTCTAGTTTTCATTGGCTCTTTTAAGGACACGTCAAAATTTACAATGTTTTTTTTTTATGGAATAGGTTGGAAACGAGCAGACGGATTACCTGATGGTAAGTAATCAGCGCCACCCATGGACACTCGCAACAGAGGAGTTACTAGTGCGTTGCCGACCTTTTAGGGATTAGGGATTTGGAGATTTAGGGATTGGGAGGGATCGGAGGAGGACCTCACTCACACGGCGAAACACAACGCTGTGGTTGTTTCACGTCGGTATTCTGTGAAGCCGTGGTATCACTTCGGTCGAGCCGACCCATTCGTGCCGAAGCTTGGCTCTCCCACACTTGTTTCGCTTTGACTCTCGGCGGCGGAATGGGAAACAGAAAGGGGCGGGGCCGGCTCTAATGCAGTATCACTGCCTAACCTTGACGAATGAATATGCTTGGCAAAGCGCGGTCTTTAGGTTAAGTCGTCTATCGGTGCCAAAGGATGGCTCTTCCACACCTAATCTACAAGAAAAAAGTTTTCTTCACAAAACTTACTTGTTCCTTCTCCTTGGCCATATTTTCAAACTTGGCCCTCAGCGACGATGGCTTGGCGCCGCCTATATCCGGCTTCTGTTTGGTATAATTGGTACCAACTTTCTCCACTTCATCAAACCGGTGGGCTGACTTGTCCACTCTGTCAGTTTCCACTCCAAACTTACCACCGAAACCCTGGAAATGAGAAGGTGGTTTAATATTATTAGATGCCGCGCAACGTGTAGCGGGTTCGATTCCCGCACGGAACAATTCTTTGTGTGATCCACAAATTGTTGTTTCTGATCGGTGTGTATGTGAATGGGAAATTGCATGTTTGTAAACGCACCCACGACACAGGAGAAAGTCCTAGTGACGGGAAACTGAACTAGATTGTATACAATACAGTTAGTAATATTTATTTACCTTCTTATGGTCGACTTGACTAGCGTGTGCCTGCGTCTTCTCCTGGTGGTCCCAGCCGACGGCGGACGCGTCCTGTCTATCCGTCTGCACGCCGAACTTACCTCCGAAACCGATCGCGTAATCTGCACATAGAGAGGAAAATATTTATTTATTATATACATTAAAATTTGCATATCGTAGGAGTTAAATATAACTATTAATACTACTAGGAATATGTATGACTTATTATATATTCGCATATTATGTAGCTTTATTTGACATTATATGAACATTTAGGTGAAAAAAATAGATTTAGAACAGATTAAACGAATGCCCAGATCATAAATAACAGCTGACGAAATAGGAAAAGTTGTTGTGATAAAAATTACTGTGACATTGAAGCCAACGAACATGTGGTGGGTCAGCTATTTGCGGGCAAGAGATTTAACGATTGGGGATTCTGGATTTGGGAATTGAGGATTGAGGGTATTGGTAAAAAAAACCATGGGCGGCGTTGATTGCTTACCATCAGGTAATCCGTCTGCTCGTTTGCCGACTTATTACATATAAAAAAAAAAAAAAAATTGGTGATTTGGGGACTGGGGACGAGAGGACGCATGAAGGGGGAGATTTGACACTCCCTGAGCGAGGAAAGACATTTGATGATTCCCCAACCCCTCTCAAAAATGTTGTCTAGTCATGCTTTGAATTCGTAAGTTTCTTCCCACCTTTCTGAGACTGATGATGCTGCGAGTCCTCCCTATGGTCCCAGCCGACGGCGGACGCGTCCTTTCTATCAGCTTGCACTCCGAATTTCCCTCCGAAACCGTGCGAGTAGTCCTTTTGGGAGGAGTGTTTCTCTATCTGTTCTTTGTGTTCCCAGCCGGCTGCACTCTGTAAGAGGATAAAATAATATCCGTAAATAAGTGGGTCTAGACACTTTTCCCTACATATATAGCTATAGTTTAATAAATAAAAGACATTTAATTAAATATACTAGTCAAGAGTTACAATAAAAAAGGTACTTTCCATCATGTTTGGTTTACAAGGGCTTTGTAGCTAAGTTTTTTAAGCGTTGCCCCACATTAGGATTTTCTCCTGTGTCGTGAGTGCGGTTACAAACATACAATTTCACATACACATGACACCCAGACCCGGAACAACAATTTGTGGATCACACAAAGAGTTGTTCCGTGCGGGAATCGAACCCGCGACAAGTACTTATTACTTGGTATTGACTTGTCGCTCAGTAAATAGGATCGTTTTCTATCCACTTGTACTATTCACAAATACGATACGAAGCACTAATCAGCGTGTTTATAATCACACAGGCTTCGCAGCTAAGTGCTTAGTACTTGTAGCAATAGACTAGACTGCATGGTTGGTGCGGTGGCTGGACAACTGGCTGCCGTGCAACGTGTCGCGGGTTCGATTCCAGCACGGAACAATTCTTTGTGTGATCCACTAATTGTTGTTCCGGGTCTGGGTGTGATGTGTATGTGAAATTGTATGTTTGTAACCGCATCCACGACACAGGAGAAAATCCTAATGTGGGGCAATGTTTTTTTTTAAAAACAAACAAACAATAATTCAAGCTATAACTAACCTTTAATGTGTAAACACGCTGTTTAACGTTAGTATTTGTATTTGAGAATAAAATAACATCCATTAAATTACGGAGAAATTGAGTAACAACATTGCAGCGTTGAAGCCGGGGCGGGATGCTAGTCATTAATTAATATACATATTCTCACCTTATCAACGCGGTCTGTCTGTACGCCATACTTCCCGCCGAAGCCCTGCGCGTAGTCAGTCTGCGAGACGTGCTTCTCCACCTTCGCGACGTAATCGTGGCCCACTGCCGACTTGTCCATACGATCCGCTTGCACGCCGTACTTACCGCCAAAACCTGGAGAAAATATTATATTATAACATATATAGGACTAGCTATTCTCGCGCGGTTTCGCCTGCTGCTCGACTCCATTTGAATATTCATGAAGTTAACGTATGGTCTAAGGTCAAAAGTGCAATTGCACTCTACCAATGCGAAGAAAATGTGTAAAATTTCTTTGTATTTGAAGTTTTAAGAATCTAAAAAGTCATTAGTTACATTAAAATCTATGCTACAAATCAACCAGTCAAGGAAACTCTGACCCCCAACTATAAAAGGGTTGCGTGGTAAGCGCAATGAGGCACTGCGGCCTTGGCCCAGATCGGGAGAAGGAACGGGGAGGTTTTTAGTCAGTTAGATTCTGACACTCTCTCGCGCCTTACACTGGGCGGGAGAAGTCATGCGATGATATTCCCCACACAAAAAAAACTATAAATAGAATTTGACACTTTTAGGTTGATAAACCTGGCGACGAATGCGCCGTAATGTTGGTATGACGTGTGCAGACCGCGTAGGGCGCATTCCTGCCTTTTTAAAAAAAAAATCCGTGTGCCATAGATTATTAAATTCTGTTGATTGACTATTTCCCACGCAAATACTTTTTTTTTATTTAATTATCAAAAATAATAATAACAGGTTTTAACTGGTTCAGCATCACTTAAACCTCTCGGGTTTGTGTGTGATACTATTATACAATTCTATTCGTTTCACATTGGTGAAGTGCAATTGCACTTTTGACTTCTACTGTACCTTGGGCATAATCCTTCTGCGATACGTGTTTCTCAGTCTTGCCGACATAGTCGTGTCCGACCGCGGATTTGTCCATGCGATCCTCTTGTACGCCGAATTTACCTCCGTAACTGTAACAATAGTTATAGGTACTTATAATAATAGTAGATATACATATGTAGTTACACGTATGCATACATTTATACACATACACACGACGACACACACATACAATATACATGCTTTCATCATAATAAGAAAGCTTAAATTTTTATGATATGTTTTTCTATCTTTATTTTAGTAAATTTTAACTTTCTTTCCATTGCTGAGCCTCACGACAGAGGGATATGTTCCAAATTATGGAGAATGGAATTGATCTGTTCATCCGTTGTTTTTTCATTGCAAAGAGATGGTATTTGTCATTATTAGATAAAAGACAAAAGATAATTTATTTTGTAAAACATGGGTGTATGTGTACAAAGCAAATAATTGCAACATAAGGTGTAAAAAATAATAATAATCAGACCCTTACATGTTTTGCCTAGGATAGGCGTACAAAATTTTGTTCTAATGGATTTGGGTATTTTATTATAAATGACAGGCGCTAGGCAGAATACACTTATATATTATTAACTACTATCTCTTAATAATAAAAAAATATTGTCTTACTGCGAAAAGCGAGTTATTAGGTCGTCTACATGAATGTCCATGCTCACAAAAAATCACAGAACGATGAAGATATTTTTTGCATTAGGCCCTAAAATCCAATAATAAAGTCTGGGTGTCTGGGGCTGGCAATCTATACCCTAATTATCTACCTATACACATGCGTTTTTTGAGTAATTATGAAATATGAGTAATTGCCGTGTGAATGAGATTACCATAGGCCCTATCCTTCCCATCCCCAAAATCTCCAAATCTTGAATGCCTATAATGTCGGTAACGCACTCGTAACTCCTCCGTCGTAGCGGGTGTCCATGGGTGGCGCTGATTGCTTACCATCAGGTAATCCGTTTGATCGTTTGCTGACCTATCACCAGCAATATATAATACAAACATATATATAACACAAAAAAATATTGAATTCCGCCCCACGTGGGACGAGAGGGAGTGTCAGAATCTTACTGACTGAAAACCATCCTACTCTTTTGCTCCAGAACGGGAACACGGTGCATTATTGAGCGTGCCCTCTCAACTCAATACCAATTTGCCTAGATGCGCAATCGGGTGACGTGTTCCATATTAATCAGCATTAGTTATAATAATGCTTATATCTACCTCGATCAGCAGTTTGGCTAAACCGTGTGAGCATAGCACTGAGAAAGTGTGAAAACAATAGCGTATTGATAACTTTCATGCAAAGACTGTCTTTTGTTCATTGAATTTGTCGAAGTTAACTGAAGTGTTTATTATAGAAATTACTAGTAAAAAGTTAATTGATTTTTTTTTGCCTTTCTCCCCTCTTAGGCATTGTGTGAAACAGGGGCTCGCTTTGCGTCCAATTACGTTTCATCTACTCATCTCTTACACAAATTCAAATTCAAATTCTTTATTTGCATGTTAAGGTGGGTACAAGGATCTTAAATTAAAATAACAGGCACAGCTTAATGGCCTTTTTCAGGCGTTGCAAAGAGGGCTATTACTAGCTTATAAAATGATATTAAATTACTTAATTTACATCACATTGCATAAGAGAGAAAAAAAATAAACAAAATAGTTAAGAATTAGATAAATAAAAAAAAAATTCTTAATTACGTTAGTAGGTAGGTGTTTGCGTGTATATGAGGTGGGTTTTAAAATTACACAATGTTTTGGTAAGCGCGTAACTCAAGAACGCCTGGACCAATTCTGCCAATTCTTTTTTTTTTGTTGTATTTATTATTGCCAGGAGAAGGTTCTTATCAAAGAAAATTTTCGAAATATCGAAGGGAAAGTTGGGAAAAGGTGACCCTTTCATTGTTTTAGCGATAGTTGGACCCGTGCGAAGCGGGGGCGGCCCGCTAGTATTAAATCAATGATAAGTATGATTCGTCGAAAAACCTTAATATTTATTGGAAAGAGTCTTCATTCAAAGTTGTTAAGTATTTTAGGAACTCATCGACATTTTATTCAGTTGATTGCGAGCAGTGGATAATCATAATGCATCCTAAATAAAAAATAAATAAAATAATTGTTTTTTGTTTCGCATACGGCAGTGTTATTAATTTTTAAGTTCCGAGGATAATGACGTCGTTTTTTTTTAATTTTGTGAATAATTAGAAATAACTCTAAAACACTACGTACCCGAAGGAGGGTTTGGGTCCAGCCTCATACTGCTTCTTCTTTATTTGGGAGTCAGCTTCCAGTACTTCTTCTCTTAGCTTCGCCATACTGTGAATAAAAGTTATAGAGTAACTTAGTTGTGTTATTAGTCTAAATCCTGGATCTTAAGTCGTCGTCGAAACCTTTCAATCGTGGTAGGTAATTAGAGACAGAATAGTAAGACAATAGGTACGCGAACGCCGGCGTTCACATGAGATTTAATGAATTGAAATCTTGGTTCCAAATAACCCTCATGAGCAGTCGCTTCAGGAGCCAAATCCTAGAGGGCGCCTAAGTGCTTTATAGTTAAAAGTATCCCATCGGTATCCGAGAGTGTGATTTAAGAAGTTAGCGATATACTACTCTGTCAAGAAAGTACCGGGAAAAAGTCAATAATACACAAATGTTTGTTATTCATCTAAATTTATTTTATCACCTTCAAAGTATGCTCCTTCAGAAACGATACACTTACGCCAACGAATAATCCAATCATCGAAACTTTTTTTAAACGCTGTTTCCGGAATTGAGTTCAGTGCTCGCCGCGAATTCTCCTTTATGTCTTCTAACGATTGAAAACGGGTGCCACGAAGGGGTAATTTGAGTGTGAGAAAAAGAAAGAAGTCGGCTGGAGCCATATCTGGTGAATATGGTGGCTGCTCGATGGTGTTTGTTGAGTGTTTGGACAAAAAATCGTTTACAATGATGGCCTTGTGCGAAGGCATTATCGTGATGCAAAATCCAAGAATTTTCTTTCCACATTTCTGGCCTTTTTCGTCGAATTTGTTCTCTTAAACGCCGCATAACGCTCAAATAATATTCTTTATTTACCGTTTGACCTTCGGGCAAGAATTCTGAGTGCACAACACCGCGATAGTCAAAGAAAACAGTCAACATGACTTTGGCTTTTGATCGACTTTGACGTGGTTTTTTCGGTTTTGGTTCAGTTGGAAGGCGCCATTCCGAAGCTTGTTGACTAGTTTGCATGTCAAACTCGTAAACCCACGTCTCGTCACCAGTAACAATGCGTTTCATGAATGTTGGGTCGGTATTGACTCGTTCTAGCATGTCCTCAGCGACTTTCATGCGATTTAGTTTTTGAAGAAAATTCAAGTCTTTTGGGACTAGCCGAGCGGCAACACGTTTCATACCCAAATTATTTGTTAAAATGGCACGGATCGACTCGTGAGATACAGAAAGTTCGGCGGCCATCTCTCTCAAACTTGAATGAGGATTTTCAGTCACTATTTCCTTCACTTTTGCGATGTTAACTTCAGTTGCAGACGTTGATGGCCTACCAGAACGAGGCAAATCTTCCATCACATCTCGACCGCTTTTGAACGCTTTGTACCACTCATAAGCACATGTTTTTGATAAAGTCGATTCACCGTAAGCCTTCTGTAACATTTTGAGTGCCTCCGAACACGAAATTTCATTGGCGATGCAAAATTTAAGACAAACTATTTGTTCGATGTTTTTGTCCATTATGAAATTCGCAATACACACTAGATATTATAAAACTAAAAACAGCACTGTTTTTAATATAAATAACAGATGCAACTCAAATTCCGCGCCAAAATGGAAAACAGTTATGCCAATCTAACAACAACAAAAAAAATTAAAATTCGAATTTGGAACCATAAAAAAACATTTATTCCCGATACTTTGTTGACTGAATGTAAATTATAAAACTTCTAAAATGCTAGTCTATTTTCGATTCGTCACTCCAGATTAGTTATATTTAGTCAAAATCTTCGCGTTATATACTTATTTTGCATTCGCAATTGGTATAAGCAGGTATATTTATATAATTGGGAGGGATATCTATCTAAGTAATACCATATCGCGAGATGGCGCTGCCTGCGCTGCTCAATGAAATAATTGTTACAGATATCAAGTAGAGAAGTACGTTTCATGGTCCTACCTACATCTTAAAAACATTCCTCAACCTTCCACCATTCACAATACTTTCTTAAAATAAATACGTATCTCATATTATTATGTGATTCATTTCACAAAACAAAATATCTCCCACACACTTCCTGGCAGTTTGATATCAATTTATTATAATTAGCATCTGTCTGGATGATACTGAAGGGCAATGCCATTGCCGACGGGGCCGATTGCTTTGCTTACTACGAATAGTTTCATTTCCAGCAACAAATCTAAGGCTTATTTGCACGGTTGATGCAGTGGGTAGGCACTCAACTACTACTGAACGTGGCATTAGTTAAAATTCCGTATGGAAGAAATATTTGTGATATAGTCAACGTCGAATTAGAGACTTGGTTGCCATTCGGTAAGAAAACAAAGAAAATTGTGTAAATTTTGAACTGTTGTGTAAATTTAAATGTTTATAAATGCACAAAGATTTAATTTTGGGCAAAATTTAGCATACAAAATAGTTCTGCATTGAGTGTTCATTGTAGGATAAAAATTTAACAAATTCATTGGGTAGTTGAGAAATAGCTCAAGAAGCCGGGTCTTGCCATGTATAGAGTGAATAAATGAGTAATAATTACAAATACAATTTATTATGATTTCCCTAAACTCGAAACTAATTTTAGTTAAGGAAGATGTTTGTGGGCTTATACTAGCTATGATGCTAGTTATTTCCTGCAACTAACATTTAAATATTATGTATTATTTATATTTATATAATATATTTTATATTATTTATACATTATTAATGTTTTATCACAAACTCTTTTAAACCGAAACTACCCCCGCATACCTAATCCATTGAAAGCCAGAACACAATTAGTCAATCACTTAACAAGCCAACTTTTCTTGAGTCGGACGTGTCCATGGGTGGCGCCAATTGTTTACCATCAGGTAATCCTTATGCTGATTTGGCATACTATTCTATAAGAAAAACAAATTGGCTTTTCCAAAAAGGTTCTCAATTTGGTTGTCTATTTCAAGCTACCATGAAAGGTTTCTTCATCATAATTGAACTATTGATTTCAGTGTAAAAGTACACAAAGACTCTCAATCTAGCATTTACATAATTAATCAAGGCACACAAACAACAAAATTCACAGGTTATAAACTAATATTCATATTGAATCTTTAACAAAGACAAACAAAAACAAATCATAATCTCAAAGAAAGAAAGTTTACAATTAATTGAGACAGAAGTTTTATATTCAGAGTAAATAATAAAAATCTATGTACACTAAATGCCAATTAATAATGAACTTTGATACTCACTCGATAGCTTCCACATTCCGTCCCCCCGGTCCCCATCGTTGTTCATGTTCTGTGACATCATTAACAAAGTCAGGATCCGTCTCCCAGTCATCTGCCTCAGGCATCGCTGGGGGAGCGACGTCCGTTGCTGCTTTCCACATCTACGACAATCATTAATTGTAATTCCGTATAATATCATTTAGATCAGCCACAATACGCCTAATAACATAGCATTTATTTCTCCCAAGATTTAAATTATTTTCTAGCAAATATGTCTATGCTTTGCGGGCTTTAGACATCTAAATATTACTCACAGAAAACAAATTAGATTTTTCTCTAGCACACTGAACACAACATGGTAAAACAATAAAAAAAACATAAATATATTATAATGCAAAAGTTGATAAGTACTGATAAACTGGTAAATTTTTGTTACTCTTTCACGTAAAAACTACTGAACGGACCTGAATGACATTGTGCATACTGATAGATTTTAGTCTGGAATAACACATAGGCTACTTTCTATACTGGTACTTTAGGTGAAGGCACCGCAGAAGTTAGTTGAGTATAACATTTAAAATATTTATCAGTTAGCCTTTATGTTCAAAGTTTTTTAAATTGTTATATTTATAGATTGTACCTTACACCTCATTCTCAGCAAATTCACTCACTACCACTTAACGACAATGCCCAACATACTATTAAAACTTTCATAAAACTATTAAAAATTCAAATGACATCAGTCATAATTGTTATTACAATACAATAGGTATTGAAATATATTACAATGCTTATCTTGCTGATTAGGACTGTAAGCATATTTTTATCCTTATTTATGAAGAAGACAGAAATGTGAAAAAGCACTAATTAAGCACTGTATCCTATTTCATTTTTTTGTGTTTTGCTGATACATAAGTAAATAAACAAAAGCTTAAACAGCTAATTTGCAACCTTATGGTACTCAAAATACAGTCTATCTGATTCATTAAATTTTAGACTCACAATACAGAGAACTGAATTACTTGAAAATTAGTAAACATTGTTAAACAATTCAATTGTGTTCTAGATTTGTGAGAAATTCGGAATATGAAAGTAGTAATGACTCACTTACCATGTTGGAAATATTGATTATATCACACTAACTACCTTTATAAAATGAAGTTATCGCGATATCTATTATTATCTTGACGTACGATAGTATACAAAGGTATAATTTCTAAGTAGCGTAGTCGCGGGCCAGCGTACACAATAACACTCACACGTTAAAGTAATATTATGACATAAAACGCTATAAGTATCTATCATAATTCATTTGTCAACTTTGCAACAAAAACGAATTTAGTTTCGTGTATTTATTTATAAGAGAAAATGTATGATAGATGAAAGCGAAATCTTACCTTTCCAAGCCGGTTTTTTAATTACACGTAAACGCAGTTTCACTTCTCACTGACAAGTTAAGGACATTCCAACTGTAAAAGTTACTATGAACGTTTGTTAGGCAATGTTTAGTTACAATTGTATTAATAATTAAAATATGTCAGAAGGTGATATTTCGATTTATTTTGCGAAACAAGTAGGGCGATACCCCGCGATGCGTCACTCGTAAACCGTTTTTGACGTTGACATCACGACATCTTGACAACTAATCAACTGTCATTGTCAAAGTGACTTTAAAATGTTGCCATGCCTATAGAAAATTCAAGGGAGTTCGTCCTTTTATTAAAATACTCTTTTTATTATTCCACTTAGACTGGTGTGGTTATTTCCTTTATGGTCCACCATGGTCCACAAAATGAATTTGCACTCTTACACGCATTATTTTTTATAAAGAGATATCTCAGTTTATTTCGAAATTTCTTCTCACAGTAGTCAAATAGGATTAATCATTATCTAGTTATTTTTAAATATAATGTTGTAGTGTTAAAGTGTTTTTTTATAGATTATTTGTTTTTTCATCATTCGTCGTTTCTTTGGTACATTTTACACTTGTAATTGTTTCGTTTGACAGAGAGACAGAGCAAATGTTTGCTACTATTGCAAACGCGGTTTAAATGAAACTTGTGATTAAAAAAAAGATCATAGTATTAAACATTTTATTGTCATACTTAAACAACTAATTTTAAAGATAAAAATACACAATTAGTTTTAAATGTTGTCTTAATATCTAAAATAACATCACCCATACAAATTTCACAAATTGTAAACATCTGCAATTTTAACAAATTATTAAAATTCATTTAGGTAAAAATTCATGATGGGTACCAAAAAGTTTTAATTAGTATCTTCCTAACTTTTAATTTAAATATTACAATTACAATTTAAGGCTACAAGATAAACATAAACAAGTAACAAATTTTTTTTATTTGAATTTTCTTTTGTTCCTATCTTACTAGTACACGTTTTTTAACTAAAATAATTTAATAAAATCATTTAGTTTTGGTACATTCCAAATGTTCCAATAAATATTTTTAAAAGTTAGAAGATATTGTGTTTTTTATAAGACCTAAATCAATTCTTCGCCATAAAATTATTAAAATAAGCGTGTACCCAGTGATCTAATGCATTAGGATTTATCATTTATCGAAGATTTCAATTATAATTAATTTTGAAATTGCCAGTTCATTATCAAAATAATAACCGTCACAAAGAACTCGACCGTAAAATACAAACTAAGCTTTAAAAATTAATTAGTTTTTGGTATTTATAAATATTTTAATTTAAGTACCTTCGTCAAATAAAAAGCAACCTTTAGCTTTTTATCACAGTGGCAACACAAACGAAGCGCACTTTATTTATTTGAATAGTTCCAAATTTAAAAGTATTTTTTAAGGTGTTAAACCAAAGGCAGGATGGAAAGCCATCTTTAAAACATTGAAATAACTAAAACTAAATACTTGACTAAAATAAAGATAAAAATTAGCTTGCTTAAGTATTTCATCTCTTCGTATTCTCTAAATCTATGATTATTTATTTCCTACAAATATTTATTTATTTACATTTCTGGGTCTGGCGCGTCTATTGCGTAGCCGAATTTTTGCAAAGCGATTTTGATTTCCCCGAAAACTGAAGGGTCTTCAATGGTTGATGGTAGCTTTACAAGTTGAGACCTGGCTAGCTTGGCGATGGCTCCACGAAGGGCTTTTCCTGACCTAGTCCTCGGTAGCGCAGGAACGGCCACTGCCTTCCTGAATGCAGCGATGGGTCCAATCAAGTGTCGAACTAACGCGATCAACTCTTGAGTTACTGTGCTCTCAGCGACTATTTCTTCATCTGAAAATAAAAAACTTTAGTTTAATAGCATGCATGTAAAAAATGAATAAAAAAAATGTGGAAGAGCTATGCTTCGGCACGAATGGGTCGGCTCAACCGGAGTCATACCATAGCCTTACAGAAAACCGGCGTGAAACAACCACAGCGTGGTGTTTCGCCGTTTGTGTGAGGGTAACTCCTCCGTGGGCGGCGCTGATTGCTTTGCTGCTTGCCGCAATACTATTCCCACCCATTAAAAATACTAAAGGCATTCACCAAATAACTTACCATCTTGAGGAGGCCTCATAACATACAGACATAGAGGCACATCCCCTTTCGTGGGATCTGGAGCTCCGACAACTACAGCGTCAGCGACCCTGGCGTGTCTTAAAACTACGTCTTCAAGAGCAGCAGTGGATAGACGATGGCCAGCAACATTGATGACGTCATCAGCTCTGGCTACCACCCAGACAGCTCCTTCGGCGCTTATCCAGCCAGCGTCTTGCGTGTCGTAGTAACCCTGAAAAAGATATATTCACATTAAGTGTGGGAGAGCCAAGCTTCGGCACGAATGGTCGGCTCGAACGGAGTGATATCACGGCCTCACGGAAAACCGGCGTGAAACGACAACAGCGTTGTGTTTCGCCGTATGAGTGGGGTTACCGGAGGCCCAATACTTTCACTACCCCTCCCCTATCCCTTACCAATCCTTATATAGCCACAGCCCTGGCTGTGGCTATTTTAAGGATTGTAATAGTAATGTAATCCTAATGTAAGATAATAATGTATCTCCAATAGGCCGGCAACGCACTCGTAACTCCTTTGGTGTTGCTCGTGTCCATGGGCAGCGCCGATTGCTTACCATCAGGTAATCCATCTGCTAGTTTGCCGACTTATCACAAAAGAAGAACATAAACTTTTTTCTTCGGTTGTTTAGTGTACCTAATTTGAATTTAGATATCTAAGTATAAAACAGGTCGCTCGCGTTAGGCCGATAGAAAATTACTTGCGGTTATCCAGCAAATAATGAAAAATAGTTAATTTTTTTATAAAAAATACAAACCAAAAGACCTTTAAATAAAAGAAGAAAATATTGCCACTGCTTATTGCAGTTTGGCATCAATAGCGATTCGCAAAGTAAGCTAGAAAATAGAATTGACGTTGCTATTACCTAGTTTTTATAGATACGTATTATACTAAATTTTAATACTATCTATTATTTTCGTTTAAATCCATACATACATGGGTAGGTAGGTATTCGTATTCTTATTTAATTAACGTAGGTACTAAATACTCATACGAATACCTGAGTAATAAAAATATTAAGTAACGAATATCTATCTATTATTGTATGTGTAACATGATCAATTTTATTTTTTGTTTGAGAGTATAATATAATTTAACCACCTTGTTTTTTAAAGGGTTAAAATGATCATACATATTCTCTCGCTCTACCCAGGGTAATAAATGTCAGACTCCTACTGAATATAAATTCATTCCTTTTCCTGCTCCAGGCCGGGGCTGCGTTTCATTATTTCGCAACCCCCCTGTTGAAAACATTAACAATTCGATAAAAATACTAAATAATATTTACGCATGGTCTATTGTCCTTCATCGATCAATCAACCTGTTCGAAACGATACGTAATCGAATAGATAATTATACTAACAGATTACATAATTTCAATTGCAAAATATTTAATACACGTGCGGTTGTAAACGGCTGATAGCACGTCGCCGGTACGATTACCGACTAAGCAGTCCTTTCAATTTGATAGACAAATATGTATGTAGGTATAATTTTCTTGGAACTCTAACCTTATTAATTAACATAACAGACCAAAGGACATCATCCATTTTGGTCCAAATGTCAAAGTGCTAATAAAAAGTGCTTTATTCTGAAAGAACTCGTTCGCCTTAGCATTTCTTTATTTAAGACACCAAAGTTGTAGCCCCACTACCTATACATGGTGGTATTCATGTTTAAAAAATCCTGATTTTTCGTACCTACATTTTTCAATCAAATAAAATAACAAAAACAATAAGATATCTAACTCCCTTTGTTACACTTAGTAGTTTACTCGAAATGTATGAAAGACGGATTTTTGAACTCAAATAATACCAAGTAGGTATATTGGTGCTACAGCTTAATGGTGTCATATAAAGAAATTCTAAGGCAGACGAGTTCAAAATAAAACTTTTTTTACTTGGCCGGTACTTTTACTTTTGGGTTGAAACTGTATGAAATGTGGATGGTGTCATTTGGATTGTACATTTAACTATGTGAACCTTTTCCTAAAGAATATTTTATTTTTAGTTTTAAACTATTCAAGATAAGACGTTAAGTTAGTTAATTTACTAAGTAATCATTTTGGTGTTATATTATTTCTAGAAATAATCACTTATTTTGTAAACGTTAGTTAACGAGTAGTTAGTGACTGTTTAAGTCTTAGACATTAGCTATATACTTATTGTACCACATAAGCTGTTGGTAATCCTTAATAAATAAATAGACTTAAAAGTATGTAACTGATCTCATTATTTGGCAGCTCATCCCTATGGTGAAGGAAAGTTAATAGTTATCTAATATTTTTATTTATTGAAGTACCTATTACTCATCGTAAAATAACATCCTACTAAATATTAAGTACAAACTAGCTACTCTCGCGCGGATTCACCCGCAGCTCAGCTCCTACAGATCTTAGCGTGATTTTTATAACCTACTAGCGGCCCGCCCTTGCTTCGCACGGGTCCAACTATCTCGCTATCAATGGGTCACTTTTTCCTAATCTTCCCCTCTACTTTTTTCTAGTATTTTCTTTGATAAGAACCTTCTCCTGACAATAACAAACACAACAAAAAAAGAATTAGCAAAATTGAATTAGCAAAGAATTAGCAAAATTGGTCCAGGCGTTGTTGAGTTATGCGCT